TTTCCAGGGATGCTTCCAGGCTTGGCAGCGGCGCTGGGATCGTTGTGTTCACTCCCAGAGGAACTACTTCGAGGGTGATGGATGAATTTAATACCTGAGATAAGTGTACGGGTTTTTATAGGTGCAGTCTATAAACTTTCCGATCGCACCTCGTATGATTGAATATGTTTCAAACTGAGTTCAATCCATTGTGATGATGTGGTGAAACCTTATCATATAAAATAAACAATTAAATTTGACTTTTTGTAAACATATAACATCTTTTAGAGGACAGTTACATGTTTCATGCAATGCCATATACTTATTCAAAACTTATTTTCAACAAGACATGACAGTATGTTTTACTTGTCTTGTAAATGATGTAATGAAACCAACCATGTGCATTATAATTTTTAATAGAAATGTATTTTTGCTAATACATGTCTTAAGTAATCTGTGATTTGAATATGACTTGTATGGAGAACAGAGCCCTCTCAGATGAGCATGATCTTTCCCAGCCAAAATTTTATATACATCTCTTGTTTTCCCACAATGCATGCTATGTTCTGTGTCTACCTCATTGTTGATTTTACCCGTTAAATAACATTTCAGAATGTGGTTCTTACTTCCAAGAAACAAAAGCATACCACCATCACAAATCTATTAATGACAGGAAAATATATTGTTCTTCTTTATACTGAACACAAATTGAAACCTACAATAAATACACTTCATGAAAGACATGCAGAAATGTGGGCATTAAAGTCTGTATGGTGACTAGCAGAAAAATATTTATGGAATGTTATGTTTGGTAATCTTCTCCATTCTCAATACTGCGTCTCTTTTATGTCCAAATATAGTAAGCAGGCCTTTCTTTGCAAAATGATATTACTTTGTGTGGCATCACTGTCAAAGTTTAGTGACAGTTGGCAGTCTTGATGCAGGACTACTTATGAAGTGCACAAGCATTGAGCTTTCCCAGAATCACTATTACATAAATATTATCAGTTTTCAGGAAGTATATACAAAGAAGAATGTTACACATGCTATTTTTACAATGTTAACATGGCAGTAACTGGAACATTTGATTAGTTTCACATTGTTTTACTCTAAAAATGGAAATCTATGGGAATTCTTTTAAGGCATATTTACTTGAAGATTTCCATCTTCTGTGTTGTTGCGCTGTGTAGTCTGGTCGATATTAACCAACGTTTCAGAGGTCATACAGCCCTGATGACGGAGGCAGTATGACCTCTGAAACGTTGGTTAATATCGACTAGACTACACAGCGCAACAACCCAGAAGACGGAAATCTTTATACTCACCGCTGTGAGAACCTCAAGTCTTACGCATATGTACTTGATTATTGTTATTACACAATTTAAGTATGTAGTTTAAACTTACCACAAAATTACATCATTTTAATAAGCTAGCCAAAAATGAACATTTATGATGTAACATGACCCAGAATTGTTTTTGTACTTCACCAAAGATGTATTAACATGTGGTAAACAATATACTCAAAATTCAGCAGTGGACCTACTATGACATAGCCCTGTCTCTGAATATAATATATATGCACATGTACCTCCTGACCTGAAGCATGTGCAGCTTCCATTCCAAGTACATTCATGTGTGTAAATACAATTCTCATTTTATCTGCTTAAGACCACCTATCAATTAGTTCCATCATAAGTTTCGTGTTTTGATGAATTGTGCACCAAATAGAAAATACCAATTTGGTCTTTCTGGATGTGTTTCTTTGAATTTTATAACGCTTCATTGAGGTGTTACTGATCTATGGTAAATACAGAATGTCTGAATAGTTCCAGTCTATTTTAGGAAAC